GAAGTAGAAAGTTGGCTTGGGGGGAAAGTGGGGCTGGAATCGAAAATGAAGCAGCTGTGTTATATTGTTAATATGGTCACATATAAACGATCCACAACAGAGTGCCTTATCGTTATTATAAAACAGAAAGTTGAGCATCTCTGGAGAGACCTAAAAATGGCTGTCCACCAACGTTTACCATCCAACCTGATAGAACTGGAGAGGATCTGCAAGGAGGAATGGCAGAGGATCGCCAAATCCAGGTGTGAAAAACTTGTTGGATCTTTCCCAAAAAGACTCATGGCTGTATTAGATCAAAAGGGTGCTTCTACTAAATACTGAGCATTTTTCAGTTTTTCTTTTTTAATAAATCTGCAAAGATGTCAACAATTCTGTGTTTTTCTGTCAATATGGGGTGCTGTGTGTACATTAATGAGGGAAAAAATTAACTTAAATGATTTTAGCAAATGGCTGCAATATAACAAAGAGTGAAAAATTTAAGGGGGTCTGAATACTTTCCGTACCCACTGTATATATACACATATACACACACACACACACGGTAACTAAGGTAATTTTGTGTTTTTAACATACTACTTACTTTCTTCTATCCAAGGATACTATCAAGAGAAAGATAATTTAAACTCCAGTTCATTATATCATCATGTAAAGTCAGCTGGTCATTACCACAAAATAAAGACAAGCAAGGTTATCAAAACATGCTAAAACACTAAATTGATACTAAATACTAAAAATTATACGATATAGTAAAAATACTTAAGGTACACATTTAAATATTCAATTGTATTTTAAGGCTGTTATTTTCTGTATGTTAATTGTTAATTAAGGGAATGTAATTTATATATATAAATATACATGAAGCAGGGTGAGGCTGAAAGCCGTCGAAGTGAAACGAGGCCGCTGAACGAGCGTGACACACGGCTCGAAAGCAGCGGAGCTTTTATTATGCCACAGTCGACCGCTTCCACTTCTTCCGGTGGTGCGTATGTGGGAAAAAAAAGCAGCGCTGTTTTATCATACTATACTAGATACAATGTTCTGTTATGATGCAATGCTAC